TCATTCGGTAATCTGAGCACATTTCAAAATACACAATGCTATAAATGTGATTACCAAAGCCTAAAAATTGGATATACAGTACTTAAAAAATTTAAGTGTTGTATCAATAAGGTTAAATACAGTACTGTAAACACTAGTTTCCATTTACCTTGAATGCTGGAGTAGTCTTGAGTAGCGAATTTGAAAAATTATTGATGAAAGAGAGGTTTAATTAGTAGAGGATGAAGTGTACAATCTCTGATGGCGTGGTGGTAGCACCCTTGCCCACCACAGGCAATTTCATCTGGATTAGAGTCGAGGTTAGAGAAGACTGATTGGGTGCAAATCCTTAACTGTACACTCCTGTTCACCCAGCAGTAACCGGAGACCTGGTTGGTTAATGATTATTGGGTCATTTTCCAGGAAAGGGAAAGGGGTAATGCTTAACATGAGATATGGGACGGGAAAACGTCTTGAGTCTAGTAACACAAATCAGAAGTCGTCTACTTTTCTACTCACCTACATAAGGAAAAAGTAGATGGTAACAACTTTGGGTTTTACATGTCAGAAATAATAACACTTTACACTTTGGTTATTGTGGTTGAATTTATTGGTGCTGAATCCTTTACAGTGTTGTAAAGTTCTATCTTTGTTCTCATACCCTCCCTCTCTCACTCCCCCACATACAAAAAACAAACACAATCCCTTCCAGATTTTTTAGCTTTCTATATTTAAACTTGTATTTTTTTTTACTGGAAACAATACAACATATATTAATAATATTTGTGTTTCTTACCTTTTGGGGCAAGAAGAAAGTCAAGCTAACCAAAGTCCCAAGGTCAACGACTTACTTCCCCAGGATGAAGTCCAGAAATAACCCAGCTACCAGGATCCTATTTACTGCTAGGTGAATAGAGGCAGAAGGTGTAAAGAACTGCACCCAAATTGTGCTGACCACTGTGCTACAGGTCACCTGTATAAGCAAAAATAAATACAATAGTGAATGAAAAGTGCTGAACTCAAAATGAATACGAGCCATAGAATTCTGTTTTAAGTTCTGTATGCTCAATGGCTTTCCAACAACATCAATTCCTCTAAAATATTATAGGAATATTAGAGGAACCCTGAGTCTATTACGGAAAATTGTTATAAACTTATTTTTATCAATAATAAAACCTTTTGCCATTCATACCATCCTTTTTCCCATGCTCTATGTGTAAATTTTACTGAGCAAAATGTTAATTTCAACCCCTTTTATGATGAATATCTACCAGGAGTGAATTACTACTAGATACTCTACTGATGATTCAGGGAAAGTTTAAAGTCTCAACTTTAAGTTAGTAACTAATGAAATCCTTATTGTGAGCATTCTGGCCTGGTTGCTAGTTTATTTGTAATGGGTTTCCAGAGTTCTTCCACTCCTCAATCCCAGCCTGGATAAGGCTGTTGCTTGCTTGCCCATAGAAATAACATCACATGAGACCAGAAGACATGGCAGGATGTGCAGAATACCCCCGTTGAAAAACAGAGGTGCAACAGGTACTCTGAGAGAGAACTCTATCAACATCAGAGGCCCGAGACTGTTCAACACGCTTCCACTACACATAAGGGGCATAACTGGCCGACCCCTCGCAGTGTTCAAGAGAGAACTGGATAAGCACCTCCAAAGGATACCTGATCAACCAGGCTGTGACTCATACGTCAGGCTGCGAGCAGCCGCGTCCAACAGCCTGGTTGATCAGTCCGGCAACCAGGAGGCCTGGTCGACGACCGGGCCGCGGGGACGCTAAGCCCCGGAAGCACCTCAAGGTAACCTCAAGGTAAGGTAGACCTACAAATACATTACAACCCAGTTGATCTTGCCCTTAATCCAGGAACTTGCCTATTTGCCTTTCAGAAGAATTTACTCATTCAACAAATATTTTTTTTTGAATTGGTAGAAGGAGGTTCAAGACCTGTGGACCTCTGATGTTTATAGTGTTCACTAATTGTGGGTATGGCTCCTCTACTCTTCCTTGTACCTATTCTGCATTTCCTATCATTTGTTCCATTGAATTTTTTTATTGAGCACATTTAGACCTGCCCTATAAGTGTCTTCCATGTACTGTTTATATATTAGGTGATACTTCTCTTGTCTCTTTTTTTTTTTTTCACAATACATTTTAATTTAAGTGTTTTACCATGTCTATGCATGTAGTTTATGGTCTATATTCCTTCTGTTTCAGAAATCTCTCATGACTTGAAAAGGAAGGCAAACACAGGAAAGTGTTCAACAATTCAGTGCAGGAAAGGGAACACTTTTCAATGCATCAAGGTTCTCATTTTCTTGGTTGATGTTAAGTTTTCCTTGTTATGTTCACCAAGAGTTAGGTCATCCTCTATCATTATTACTAGACCCTTTACATATTATTTTTGCTCTATGAGATCTGATTGTTTCTTGTATCTTGTATCTCTTAAGTTTTCTTTATTACTTTTTTTGCATATTTGTACGACTGGAGTATATCATTATTAAATATCATGTTTTCCAGTGACCAGTTAAAGAGTTTATTGAAATTTATTTGTAATTTTTTTGGTGTCTACTTCATTCTAAAATGGTATTCTCTGCAAGGAATGACTCAAAGCTGGAATATGTATTTTTTCTATTTCTGCTAAAAGGCTGAGAAAGTAGCAGAGCAAGGACAGTGCCTTCGGGTACAGAGCTTTTCATGGAGGTTGGGCAAGAGTTTGTTTGGTTTACTGTTCCTTTTGTGAACAGTTTGTCAGGAACTTGAATATCCATAGCCGATTTTGCCTGTTATTCTTTGGACCGTCTTGTATGGGCTATCACTCCATGGTCACATTTATCAAATATCTCTGCAACATCAGTGAATACATCTGAATTTATTGTTTTTCTAATGCTTCCATGATTTTGACAAAGTGATTGAGTAATTACAAAAGACAATCATCCTACTCCAAATCTATGATGACTAGGATTGTGTGGTTTTCTCCATAAAACTAGATATTTGACTCTTAATTACCCCTCTCAAAGCCTTTATAATGTAATACCTTACCTTGAGGTGCTTCCGGGGCTTAGCGTCCCTGCGGCTCGGTCGTGGACCAGGCCTCAAACTACCAACTAACTACCTAGGTGAAGTTACAGGATGAAAGCTATGCTTGTTGTGTCCCGTCTTCCCAGTACTCTTTGTCATATAACGCTTTGAAACTACTGATGGTTTTGACCTTCACCACCTTCTCACTTAGTTTGTTCCAACTGTCTACCACTCTGTTTGTAAAAGAAAATTGTCTATTTTTTTTCAGCATCTCCGTTTTCTTAGCTTGAATCTGTGTTCTCTTGTTCGTAAAGTTGCTAGTTTCAGGAATTTATCTTTATCAATTTGGTTTATTCCTGTTAGTATCTTCGAAGTGGTTATCATATCAGCTCTCTTCTATCTTCTAGTTTTGGCATGTTTAATGTCTCCAGTCTCTCCTCATAACTCTTTGTTTTTCAGTTCCAGAAGCCATTTTGTAGCATGCTGCTGCACTTTTCCAGTTTATTTGTGTGCTTCTTGAGATTTGGGCACCATACAACTGCTGCATATTCCAGTTTTGGTCTCATCAAAGTCATGAACAGTTTCTTTAGTATTTCACCATCCAAATAATTAAAAGCAAGTCTGAAGTTAGAAAGCGACACATACACTCCTCTCACTATGTTCTTTGTATGTTCGTCTGGTGACAGCCTACTATTCAAAACCACCCCTAGGTCTTGTTCTTTATTAGTTATGGAATTCCTTTCCACATAATTTGTAAGTTGTATGTGGTCTATTTTATCTGAGTCCACATTCCATAACATGGCATTTATTCACAATTAATGCCATTTGCCACATGACACTCCAAGCACTTATTTTTATCTAGATCAATTTGAAGGGCATTACAATCATCTGCGTCTCCTATCTTCCCCAGTATCTTACCATCATATGCAAACATGTCCATTTAATTCTGTATTCCTTCTTGTAGATCGTTTATGTAGACGATGAACATTACTGGTGCAAGAACTGAATCCTGTGGCACTCCGATAGTGACACTCCTCCAGTCAGATACATTGTCTCTGATTACTGCCCTCATCTGTGTGTGATATTAGTGGCACAAGTGGGGCTATGTCTGCTAAATTTAGTGCCCTGGTATTTTGCCTGTATCAAAACTTTTCTCCATATTACAATGAGAGCACATGCTACTAGTACTTTGGCATTCTTTATATAGAGTTCCAATTTCCTTTTTAAAATCTGCTGTGTTCATTATAATATATACAGTATATGGTATTATTTGAATTGTGGATACCAGTATTGTTCATGAAGAAACTGACACGATCTTAAACGTTCATGTTGCCTGCCAAGGTACTAAACAGAGCATCATACTGTTCTTTCATGATTTCACAAATATCTTTATCGTTTGTGAATCAACTTTCTCTTGTAAATATAGGGCCAATACTGTGGAAACATTTTAATTCTGCTTAAGTGAAAAAGTATTGTATTTTGGAATTTTTCCTATCTCATATACCCAGTGAGCATAATATTCAAGCGAAACACTAATTCAGCGTTGAATATAACATTACACTTGGATATTGTTCGCACTGGGAATAGACCCTTGGAGGTTTCTTGTTTGAAAAAAATTTGAAGAGCCTATAGGGTATGCGCAGTGTCTTGGGTAGACCCCTGGCTGCCTGCTTAGACAGCAACTGAGAGGCTTCTTTCAGATAATATATTTGTACATACAGTATTCATATTTTTGTTTATATTAAAACTATTATTATACAGTATATCATTTGTGTATCAGTTTATTCAGAAATGCATTTTTGCTGTTTCTTGGAAAAGAGCAATAATTTTTCTTGAAAATGTGCAAAATCTAGCAAAACCCAAATGCAGCAGAATTTCAAATGCAAAGGTAGGGTTCAGTATGAATCTGTTTTAGCAGAAGCGCAGTGCATCTACTGAAGACATTTTCTGTAAATATTGCTCTCCTTGTATCTGAGGTGTGATACAACACGACACATTCATCAGCCTTTATTATTGTACATAATTTGGGCAACATAGCAGTGTACAAAATTTTCCTTCAACTAAAAGAATAAAACACATTTTGTTTTTTAAAAAATTCCTCACTAATGATTTCCATATTTCTAATATCAGATGTCACGATGAAAGCCAATTTTCTTTTATATCATTTATAGAATATACTGTATATACAAAACTACAACATATATCAAATCATTGCACCTTTAGTGTAATATACATCTGAGTAGGGTAATAAAATACTCTGGACCTATACAATGATACACATGTGAAAGTGGATCCATGCAAAGTATGAAAACCACATAGTAAGAGAGACAGATGTGGTATGGTAGTTCTGCCAGCACACTTCGTAAGTATTTGACTCTGCGTACATTTCACTGCAGAGACAACATTCATCACCCCATGGGGATGTGGTAACCAATGCAACATCGCTGTTGTTAACAGTTAGTCAAAAGCAAAGATAAAGAGTTGCAGGGGAAAGGGGAAGGAGGAAGGTTTAACAGACCACTACCGTACCATTCTGATGAAGCTAGAAAAGGTGTGTCCTGAAGTTAAAGGGAATTAGACCATCACAGTGCCAACCAATGCAAAATCTACTACTTCACATGTCATTCACATGTCAATAACTTTAAAAATAAATATGTTTTATAGCAAGTTCCATATTGAAAAATGTTAAAACAAATGTCAAATACCAAGAGATGTGATGAAGGCAGCAAAAAGTTGAGAACATATTGAAAATGTGAGGCAGCATGAAGAACGTGTGTGACTGGGTCGGTCGGGTGGGAAAGGAAGATGCAGAGGAGAGGGAGACAACCATTATATACAGTACAACCCTTCAGGCGTGGAATCACCGCAGTCAAACCAACTCACTTGAGTTACAATATCGTTACTATGTAAGACTATGATAGAAGAAAAGTGTTAGGGGGTCATCATTCTAATCATGAACATGGGAACCCATGCTAATTCTTGTTAGAATCGTCATACAAAATCTGCGCTACCGTCTACCCATCCCAGACAATACACATCATTTATTAAAACCAAATGTCTCATGTATTTATGCATGTGTGTGTATGTATGTGTGCACATGTATGTGGGCATATGTGCATGTGTGTGTGCGCTATATACACACACATGCGTGCACACACACACACACCCACGCACAAACACATACCTTTATTTCTATTTTTGATTACAAAATACCTATTCTATTTTAAACAAGCTTTGCCCATAAGATAGTGAGAAATTGTGAAATATCAGCATTATGCTGTACAGTGTTACACCACTACCAATGTTTTAATTTCTTTATGCCATATAACACACCACAGTTGATATACCGCACCCCATCACATCCACTCCATAAACACAAGGGGAAAATGGGAGCGGTTCTCAGCCCAGCTCATCTCTCCACGTGATCCAGGATTAGATTAGCAATGAATTCCAGACCATGCTGACCATGTTCAGTAGCTGTATAGCTTAGCTTAGGCTGTACTCTACACAGTATGTCAACTTTCTGCATGACCATATGCTCACTGTTGGTCTTCAGTAATGAGTTGCAAATCAGTCATTCACTACCAAAACTAACCTAACCTCATCTGAGCAAGACTGCAATTTCAACATACACAAGAATTTGCTTTATTCTGCAAGGATGATGCTCATCTCCACATACATAAAAAGAAAAGAGCTTAAGAATTTGGGTTTATCTAAATGAGATCATGTAAGAAAATAAAAGAAATCCCTCATCGCTGAACTAAGACATTAACCCAACTTGCTAGTCAAAAGGAATTCCTAGTCCCAAGTCCTAGAACACATGAAGAATAATAAAATTGCAGTATCCACTGTATGTATCATAATATTCCTGAATGATGAAAATGATTAAGATTAAATGTACATTAGGACCTAATTATTAAATTTATTATATACTGTGTATGCATGTATGTATGTGTGTATGTATGTATGTATATATAATCTTATTGTTCACATCATGTGAGCATTTCAGGCAATTATTTCCTTACAAAATTAATTATGTGATAATGACCATTTTTCAGTGAGAATGAACATGACCAGCATTGGTTTATACACAGAAAGGAACTATATTATATGGTTAAAGTGCAGCATCATGAGCAAATGGCCTATTGAGAATTTTATATGCAGAATCGTTCATATTCCCAAAACCTTGACAATGGGGTGGTACCTATAATACCTCTACGATGTCAGTAAATTGTAAATACAAAATTTGGTGTATGAGATCAGAGAAACCCCAGAATATTATGAAGCATAGGAATAGTCTGCAGCTGCATTGTTTTAGTGGTCTATTCTTTGTAAGTTTAGCAAGCAGCTTCAAAAGTTGAATTGTTAGTATGATAAAGAGCGCTGACATCAACCGGGTTCACAATAGTTAACAAGCGATTTCCACAACTAAATGTTTTCATCATCCTTATAATAAATACTTGAGTTTTCCTGGGAGCTTGAGTTTATTTAGAGTTACTCATAAATCACTGTAGACAATAGTTTTGTAGGTGATAGTAAATTTGGTCCTTTGTATCACATCTTTTGTAGCCATGAGCATTTTCTTGACTGTAAACTTAAAACTTAATTAGGCTCATGCTTTTCTGGCAGTATTACTATTCTACTACCTGAGCACTGCAAACTCTATACAATTACTTTAAAGATAAAACTATACACCTCAAAGTCACCTTCTGATATATAACCTCGACATGTTTTACACAAGGATGAAACAAAGTTTGGTTATCAACCAAATAAAAAAAAATACACTGATATCTTTTGACAAGCTAATGTGTTGTACTTTATATTATCTGTAAATACTACAGGTTAACTTGTCAAGCTAATCAGCTTGCCAACTAATAAGACAAAAGTATTTAGTGACGTAGTTGTTACTGCATGACAAAAGCCTGGACGTAAGTATTTCCTCTTGATCAAAACCTAAGAAGGAACATTTCATACAGAGATTAATCAGAGTTCAATGATTCAATGAACACAATATTATCTGAAATTTTTCATGTAGTTTGTTTGAAATAAAATAATAAATCAAATACTGTACTGGCATATCTGACAGTATTTCATCTGGAAATATTCTGATATTTTTTTCACTTCTCAGGACACTTACAAAACACAATCACAAACCATCACCTCGTTGATAGTTAAATATATCAGAAATTAAGAGTTGAATCACTTTGTTTGTCTTAATAAGCTAAACGTTCTATACACACTCTCAAGTTCCTTCTTCATCAAACAAATGTTTGATACTCAACAATCGGTATACTCCATAAAAATGCATCAGACATCCTCAAAATTAAAATATACTTCTCACTTCAATCATAAGTGAAGCAAGCACAGTAAAATATCACCAGTTCTTCCACCATCATAACTGAGGTCAAGATGCACACAGTCCTTCCGTGCAACAACAGAGAGAGTGAATAAGAGACAGGTCGTCGTCCCCTCCCCAGAGTGCGGGGTCAGCGTCCACACACACACGACACTTCCCAACTGGCACAATGAACAGTAATGGCACATAGGCATTTTCTTTTTCTTATTTTCTTTTTTTTTCCTTTTTTTCTTTTTTTCTTTTTTTTTTATTTTTTTTTTTTTTACAAATGTGCATAGCCTCAATCATATGGATGCTCAGGGCACGAGCGATTCACCTGCAACACAATAGAAAAATATAGCCTTTTGAACCAGAGGAGCAATAAATCAATTAGTCCTCAAAATATAGTGTCTGTAGCTATACAATAAACACTACTTAATTAAAATTATACTGTACAGGATATGGGAAATCTAGCTCAAGCATATATAAATAATTCCAAAATTCTCTAATTTACCTCTAATACTTGAGCAAATAATGCAACGCTACTTTAAAGCAGAGACTGAAGCATTAGAAAAATAGAATTTAATTCCTAAAAGGGAAGTGAAGGTACAAAAGACAAGCCCTTCATCTATTTAATAAATAATCCTGCAACAGCTAATTGATAACAGTTTGTCATATTGCACAGGATATCATTCATGCTGATCTGCTATGCGTGTTAGTGACTTTATAAGAATGTACTATTCAACCACCAACATACGTACTTTAATAACTCCATTGTAACTATTTGTATATGAATAAATCAAATAAACTAACCAATCAGTAACTATTATATTTGCCAACATAATCATCATACACAAAGTCTATTAAGCATTAATTAATGTCCCGTTAAGCAAAATACCACGAGGCTACTAATATATATATGTAAATGACTTAAAAGTCACAGTGTATGTAATGTTGTCGAATCCCTTCACTTCAGGAATGAATTGAGTTAAATGACACTTACAGCACTGCTTCAAGGAATGTGACATCTTAAAATATTAACTATAGCATCCTCGTCATTATCTGAGATGAAGGAACATAGACCATAAAGTTAATCAAATCAAAATGTGTGAAGAGTTAGGAGGTCAAGAGTGACACTGTACTTGATCATCGGGCATCAAAACAAAGTCTTGGTTCATGAATATTACACACACTCATAAAATCCATGAACTCACCCTTGTACACTTCCAAAATTTTTGGTTAAAATAAATTCATAAACATGCTAATTAGTCTTCTCTGAGCTCACATAGTGCTCTCTGCAATGTTATTTTTAACAGAATCCAATTTCAAGAACTACTTCACACATTTTAACGCTCTTGACTTATTGCTAATTACTGTATATATATATATAGTAGTATGCCGATTTAAAAACGGCATTAATCTCTGGGTAGAAGCCTGAAAATTATTATGTTTGATTAAATACAATCAATAAGCAAAGAATAAGTCATAATAATGTGGCTGAAACAAATAACCAAACCGACACATGTGAAGTGAAAGAGACGACATTTCAGAGTAATGTTCATTCTCTTTTTTGAGAATGAACACAAGTTTCCAAAAAGCCCCAGTGATTGAATGGTTGATGAACTTAATTGAACTAGAAACATCCACTCCTTATTAGGTGTTATCTTGAGGTTATCTTGAGATGATTTCGGGGCTTTTAGTGTCCCCGCGGCCCGGTCCTCAACCAGGCCTCCAACCCCAGGAAGCAGCCCGTGACAGCTGCCTAACACCCAGGTACTGTACCTATTTTACTGCTAGGTAACAGGGGCATAGGGTGAAAGAAACTCTGCCCATTGTTTCTCACCAGCGCCTAGGATCAAACCCAGGACCACAGGATCACAAGTCCAGCGTGCTGTCCACTCGGCCGACTGGCTCCCTTGGTGTTCAAGAAGCTGTAGCCAGGACATTCTAGATTGCTGCTTCCAATATCTAACTAGTGGCATACATATTTAGCTTGAGGAATACTGTACATTCACGATGAGAAAATATCGAGGCTGAACGATGGGATCAAACGAACATCCCTCAACTCCTTAAGCACATGTACTACCCGTGGAGCTCAGGGACGCTGATTTGATCCCATCGTGCGGCCTCAATATTTTCTCACAGATTCATCGCATTCTTGCGAGTTAATTGCGTGTATCTAAGGTGTTCGTTGCTCCAGTTCAATATACTGTTTGTCAAGTGTATGCACATGTAGTTCAGCTATACCACAAGCGAACATAAATTGCACACATTTGTAGCTTACTATATCTTAAATTTATTGACTGTATTAGTGTTTAGTTGGAGAGCTATAATTGAACAACAACAACAACAACTACTACTACTTTTACTACTACTTTTACTACGGCTACTACTTTTACAACTACTTTTACTATTACTACTACTTTTACAACTACTTTTACTATTACTACTACTTTTACTACTACTGTACTTTTACTACTACTTCTACTTTTACTACTACTTCTACTACTACTTTTACTACTACTACTTTTACTACTGCTACTACTTTTACTACTACTACTACTTTTACTACTGCTACTACTTTTACTACTACTACTACTTTTACTACTGCTACTACTTTTACTACTACTTTTACTACTACTACTTTTACTACTACTACAACAACAACAACATGTATGTGATAGCTAGAGTTTCATAAATACAGTACAGTACTGTATATCAATTAACTGGGAGCTTGTGGTTCCCAGGCAATATAATAAGCGACTCCAATGAGACTTTACGAGCCACTGTGCACCAGGTCACCTCAACACTATTAGGAAGCAAGTGTGAACCCTTGCTATCTACGAGGTACAGTATTGCTTCAGGTAATTCCCCGTTGGCTCCCAAAAGAGCAAGTAATGTGGAGAGAATAACTGACAGTTGCAGAGAATGTCACAATAATATGCTGAAAATTAGACACACACACAAGCCACACATATGAGAAGAAAGGAAAGTGATAAAGTTTCAGTCTCTACTGAACTGGTGTCATAAAAGTCTAGGATGGACCAAATCGTTGCTTAGTGATTCTCCCTGATAACTTGTTGACAAATTTCTGATGTCAAATCAGTTTCTGGAACCTCCATTTATATTTCATTACTAACCATACCTTTGAAATCTATTAAATTCTTCCTGTTTAAGATAGATCATATTATTAGTGCAGAAATATCAAAGACAAGACCAGTTGGCAATGCCTATTGTATATAATCATACACGTGATTAGAATCCAGAAGAAGCCTTCTGGTGCACTTGGCAGACCAACTATTGTATTGGGCTGGTTTGTGTCTATCTAGTGATTTGCAGTACCAACTCAGTACTAACAGTAGTGTTAGATCCCAATAAAGTTTAAAGTGAATTAAGTTGTATAATTATATCAGCACCAGCTTGACACTGCCAACCAACCAATTAACACAGTCTGCTTTTTTTTAACTTACCTGGAACCACTCATCAATACATGTTTTGTGGTAGATACAAAGACAAGGTAGTCGAGCAATGGTATCTCCCTGGCAGAGATCCTCCAGGCAGATGACACACTCTCCCTTGTCCTCCGTTAACACATCCTCTGTAAAGAGATATTCATCAATATATTCTCATTTGACAAAACCTTGACAATATCCATTTGATAAATTACATCTTTAGAACATCCTTTAATCCAGTATAGTACTGCAGATATACTCTAATGCCTAAATTATAAACTTGTGTAATAATTTTGCAGCCATATTATTCCACTGCAGGCGATGAGTCACAATAACGTGGCTGAAGTATGTTGACCAGACCACACACTAGAAGTTGAAGGGACGACGACGTTTCGGTCCGTCCTGGACCATTCTCAAGTCGATTGAGAACGTCGAAACGTCGAAACGTCGTCGTCCCTTCAACTTCTAGTGTGTGGTCTGGTCAACATATTATTCCACTGTTGGATGAAGCCCATGACAAGTGTTGCTCAATAAAACGGTGAGGAAGTCAACCAAACTTCTGTCTAGCCAAGTTTGAGGCTGTCTCTAATTGGTAACCCAGCCAACTACTATCCAGACCCAGCTACATCTATGTCATCTGCTCTACTTCACCAGTGGCTATTGGCCAATGCTGTAATGTAATCATGCAAAGAGGCCAGACGACCCCCTTTCCATCAAGTATAAGAAATGTAGATATTTCCTGGCAAATACAAGTTTTCCAGTAGAAAAACTACAGTATTTCAATGCAGATTGACAGATATATACAGTAACTGGTATTTTCCTGCATACTGACATCATAACTGAATACTTGCCAACAGATATGATAAGGCCAGTAGGCGGAGCATAAAGAGCTAAATGTGACTTTCCTGTAGCAACTGATATGTAAGTACCTCCCTGCTTGAGCATGTCTGTGAGTGGAACATTTTCCCAAACATAGTTATTTTTTATACTTGAGCATTTATTTGTTATTAGGTACTGTATCTACAAACACCTGTATGCTGAATGATCACAAAAAAACAGATCACGTAAAAACCATGTGGTTTAGTTATATATAAGAATCCACTTAAAAGGAGAAAAATTATAATATTTTAATATTTTTATTATTTAATATTTTTGGGGGGGTGTAATGGATTAATTCAAATTACATTATTTCTTCTGGGAAAATTCGTTTCAATTTTCGAACCATCTCTGGGAACGGATTAAATTTGAAAACAAAGGTACCATTGTAATTGTATATTCACCAGTGGCACTCACCATTGTAACTGATGCGTGGTTTCGTGAGGCAGATAACTAAATGGCACTCCAGGTCATCAGGCAGCACAAGTTTGGAGCAGATGGGGCACTTAAAACCTGCAACCCAAAAAATAAAACACATTAACATTTAGCTAATATAATTTCAAATATATGAATTAAAATATAGATGGTTCATGAACATAAGAACAAGAGAACATGGAAGAAGGCCTTCTTCCAGGGCTTCTGCAGTTTTGTGATAGAGTATTGTAACACAGACATTGCCACACTTATATACAGTAATGTATCACAAACATTGCCATACATATATCTAGTATTGTAACACAAACATTGCCACACTTACATACAGTAGTGTATCACAAACATTGCCACACTTGTATATAGTACTGTATCACAAACATTGCCACACTTGTATATAGTACTGTTAACACAAACATTGCCACACTTGTATATAGTACTGTTAACACAAACATTGCCACACTTATATACAGTAGTGTATCACAAACATTGCCACACTTATATACAGTACAGAATCACAAACATTGCCACACTTATATACAGTACAGAATCACAAACATTGCCACACTTATATACAGTACAGAATCACAAACATTGCCATACTTATATACAGTAGTGTACAGTATCACAAACATTGCCACACTTGTATATAGTACTGTTAACACAAACATTGCCATACTTATATACAATAGTGTAACACAAACATTGCCACCTTATATATAGTATTGTAACACAAACATTGCCACACTTATATACAATACTGTAACACAAACATTGCCACACTTGTATATAGTACTGTTAACACAAACATTGCCACACTTATATATAGTACTGTTAACACAAACATTGCCACACTTATATACAGTAGTGTACAGTATCACAAACATTGCCACACTTATATACAGTAGTGTATCACAAACATTGCCACACTTATATACAGTAGTGTATCACAAACATTGCCACACTTATATACAGTAGTGTATCACAAACATTGCCACACTTATATACAGTAGTGTATCACAAACATTGCCACACTTATATATATTACTGTTAACACAAACATTGCCACACTTATACAGTACTGTATATAGTATTGTAACACAAACATTGCCACACTTATATACAGTACTGTAACACAAACATTGCCACACTTATACAGTATATAGTATTGTAACACAAACATTGCCACACTTATATACAGTACTGTAACACAAACATTGCCACACTTATACAATATATAGTACAGTATTGTAACACAAACATTGCCACACTTATATACAGTACTGTAACACAAACATTGCCACACTTATACAGTATATAGTATTGTAACACAAACATTGCCACACTTATATACAGTACTGTAACACAAACATTGAAATGTTTCTCTGAACATGATATAAATGTATTATAAATACTGTACAGGAATACAGATATACAGGTATTTAAATGTTCATATTTGTTCTATTTATATACAAAATAATGTGTTTTATGCTACACTGTTTTCATTAAAATATTAATTCTAAAGTGGTCATTTGAACATACGATAATTATTTTTAATGTGAATTAATATAAAAATGTGCCTAAGCATTTACAGTTAAAAGTTGCTCAATAATTCTGGAAAATTAGGCAATAGGGAAGAAGCATATACACACAATATTTTTTCATAATATGTTTACTAATATGGTCTAATTACAGTACTGTATTTAAAGATCCAGTACAGCAGTTATGGTAGGCATCTAGTAATCAGTGATTTTAAATATTCCTTGCAGCTGCAGAAGAGAAAAAAGCCATGCCAAGCCCTAATGCAAGCCTGATACTATGTTGCCCAATACATGGGATACAGACAACTGCGTATGTGACAATGCTGAGGCCCTTGAATGGTGATTCCGATATAAAACAATGCAAGATTACGTTGAACACAGATTGAGCAGTGCTCGACTATAATGATCAAAACGTATCACAATATTGACAATACAAATTGCCAATCTTAGATCATTATTATACAGTATTTACATGAAAACAGGATGATAAATGTGTATAAGATTAAAATATGCCTAATTTATATTACTGTACTGTAAAATTCTAAATGCCTCGTGTTGCTCGTGCTGGAGCAACCCGTCATCTTAAAAATAACGTCACTTTTGGCTCGTATGCGCGATATGGCTAAATTTGGACGTAATTTGAAATGAAATCGACTCACAAAAGTGACGTTCTGTTCCGTTTTCTATTTGAGTCGGCCGGCCTACGCGCAGAGGTTATAAGAGGACACTTTAAATTAACGTTTTTCATAACGTTTTGAAACTTTATGAGAATTTCCTGCCCACCTAACCTATCAGAGGACCCTTAACTTACTGTTGTTGAAAAAAAAATCCCAAATTTATTTTCATATTTTTTTTATTTTCAAATTACGTCCAAATTCGGCCATACGGGCAATCGGCCAAAAGCGACGTTCTTTTTAAGAGGACAGGTTGGCTGGAGAGCATTTATTCTAGTGCTCAGTACTTAAATTAGGTCTAATTAGGCATGAATTTCAGTATCAAACTTGCACTATATAACGGTGGTGGTACACACATCATGCATAATTGTAAGGGAAGGCTATTGCAGGACATTATGTATAGACAGTATCAAATGTTTGGTGAGCATGTTTAATGAAGGGTTTGCTGTGTTGCTGATAACAAGTTACCCATTATGTAAGCTTCAGAGTTTTGGTGGAAAGCAAGTATAAGACTATAAATAAAGGAGAAATACTGTACTGTTCTAAATAATGACAATAGAGTACAATAATATTGAAACATTCATCACAGCAATGCTCTTTTTGTCCTAAAGTGTTCAACTCTAATTTCCTTAAAATAAACACAAAACAAAATTGCCATAATTTTACAACAAATTTAACCAAAGCAATGATTGAAACTTATGTCAAGAGAACATATGGTATGAAGATGATACAACTTTGAACAAAATGAACAAATACTAAGTATCAAGACAATATATAATTGAATTATTTTAGGCACACTAGTACTGTATAATAAAACTGTCCAATAAAACTCCAAAGACTACACAATTCATAAACTCTCAAAGGAACCAACCAATGACTGCAATAGTTGAGACATGCATAAGAGAAATATTTGGCTAAAGGAGAAAGGTGAATCACTTTGCTGATATTTTTTTAACGATATTCAAGACAATTAGTTCTAGATTCCTGTAAGGAAAATGACTTCTCTGAGAAGCCTCAGTCTTCACCTCAAAGCTTCATTTCTCAAATCAATGCATTATTAAAAACAATAAGAATCTAAGTAAAAAATTAATTGATAACTTAATAAACCTGCCTTAGTTTTCATACTGCTTTCATGGGAGAAAAGCACTCAACATTCAAAATTTGTGGTCACTTAATCCTTCCAGCCAACATTAACAGAGCCTTCATCTCTAACTTAAGCATGAAACAAGAGCATTACCGAGTGTAAAAAAATCTAAAGACCAAAAGCGCGAGACCTGGTGTTCTTAATGATTCAATAACTAAATATTTAGAGGATGTTGTCTATGAATATGAATGAAATGTATAGTTTGTGTGTCTGAATAACCACTGTGGAACTGAGATTCTTATGAAAAAATTATGTTATTTTAATATTCTTTCCAAACCTAAATGGGAATTTAGTTCTTTGGTTCATAAGGCTTCCAAGATGCAGGATGTGGGGTGAGAGGTGTTTTGTCCATGTTGATCTCCAGAATAAGCTAGTGTATTTGTGAGGTGTACCGTAAGTGTAGATGAGAGAGGCGAGATGTGGTGGAGGGGGGGGCAGGTGGAGGGCCTGTGAGAGCAAGAGTAGGGGTGGTGTACCCTCCACATCTGCTGCCCGCCCAGCCCGCGCTTCGCCACGTCCACTAGCTGAATGGCTGCTGACACCAGTTGTGTGAGTTCGAGAATGGTGGTGGCGGCGAGGGGAAGGGGGCGTGGCTGTGGCAGGTCGCACCAGCAGGTAACGTGCACCGGCACTCTCCGAAGACTGATGCTGCTGCTGATGTTGCTGATGATGGTGATGACGACTGCGACCAGGTGAACCACTGATGATGCGATGAGAGGTTCCACTGGACGGAGGTGTGGGTGGAGGGTCAGCTACACGGGGTGTGGGAGTGTGGGCGGGGTGTGGATCCGTGGGGCGGGAAGGTACACAGGTCCCCAGCAAGACACCCATCCCCCGCCAACATGACGCCATCACCGTCGTATCCTCCACCTCTCCTCCAGACGTGGGATCCCACCCACTCGTTGTGCTTGAAACATTGTGAGTTGATGGACGTGGTGTTGGTGTTGTTACGTCAGATTGTATATGGTTGTGGGCACCTCTAGCCCACCAAATGGTTGATCTGCAGTTCGTAATATTTGCAGAGGCCAACAAATTGTGCCCATATATCAATGACTCGGCCACAAAAAGAAATTTTACCTTCTTTAGAATTAGAACAAAACTGTGGATTTTCTGAGAGGTACATTAATCTATTTGGTCACAACTCCAGAAATATTACACCAAAAGATTGTTCGGGATAAAGAACAGTACTGTATATATATTTTCTCTCATTTTCCACAGAAGTTAAATGTTTTGTTTATAAAATATTTTAGTTACATACTTTAGAAACTTCTTAAAAGTATTTTTGAGGAAAGGCACTTCAGATCTGTAGAATAATTTAGCTATACACAAACATCTGCAACATGTTCTCAATTTCAAATGTGTACACACTACAATTTCAAAAATGTGAAAAGTTAAATGTAAAAAAAAAAACCTTTATTTATTACAATACTGATGACAAAAACTCTCAAAATCAAAGAACATAGCTAACACCTAGTATGATTGTAGTGTAAGTACTATGATTCATTATAACTGGGTAGCCTTCCCCAATCAAGCACCTGAAGTGCACTCTAAAGCCACCACCTCCACAAAGAAACATAATGGGTGTCTTCTAGGCAGTATGAAACCCGGACCTCACACCACAGCCAGAAAGCGGAAGAGGACCTGTGAAACACGGTCCTGGTTTTGCAACAGATTTTGATACAAGTCCTGCTTCAGCCACATTCGAAGAATGATGAAACATTAGGCACCTGCACAGGAAGCAACAAAAACCATACCATGAACTAGGACCAGAAAACAGACCCGGATGGGAGCGGAAGCAGTGTCCATACAAAGCAAGAATCCTCCAGGGAACTAAAAACCAAAGAGGGGTCAAAGGGTAACCATGGGCCCTTCTCTGGAAACCCCAATGTCCCATGACATTTCTAGCAGCAGCAGCAGCAGGAGAACCAGGGAGGAAGACTACATCTGCTTCAAAGCCTGCAACTTCAACAGAAAATAGACAGGGTTAACCAGGGAAGTCCAGGAACCCGGAGGAAAGAAAATCCAGAGGCTCAACCTATAAGATATGGAAAAGAAGCATGAAAAGTAGGTCCAGGAAACCAACCTCAAGCCAAGGTTGGTGAAAATGCAGCTGTTCTCAAACACACATCAAATGTAACATGATACAGATGGAATTTAGTGAATGCAACAGAATTATGTGGGTGAAGAAGTATGAAATGCACAATGCAAACATAAACTGGGGTGAAATGGGTGTAAAATGATCTAGATGTAGAAACAGTGGTGCGCTTGATGAACAGTTAACGAATGTTGACGAGAAAGGTGATGCCAGCAGGCGTGCAGCTTGAAACAGCTAAGCAGCATCAACTGATGAAAGAAAATGAGACGCCAAGTTAACTGAAGTCATTTGAGGCAGAAGAAGAAGAAGAGTAAGCTAAACACACTAAAATCCGTATAAGAAAAACAGTGGGTGATCACTGTAGACAGGGGTTGCAAAAGCCTACATCGAAATTGGTAACAGATGGTGTTCCATTAACCTCTCCTTGTAGCTTAGTTCTCTTAAATCAGGTATATACAAGTTTTGCTACAAATGTCCATCCCAACTCTAATATTAGCCTCACACACACACACTACATTGTTTTAAAAAGAGTTTATATTTAGTTTTTTGTATTTCCGTGCTAACTTATGTAGTCACTACAGCCAACAACCAAACGGGCTGTAGTGAATACGTTAGCCCGTGGACCTCTCCAAGCAACAAACAGCCTGTTGGACCAAGCTCTCAAGTCCAGCCTGGCCCTGGGCCGGGCTTAGGGAGTAGAACAACTCCCAGAACCCCCATCAAGGTATGATCAAGGTAAGGTAAGGTATATTTGCTAGGTCCCCCACATCCTGCAGATGCTACCCCTGTTTATATGTTCCTCTGGTGGTAGAGCTCAAATCATACCCACTCCCAAATATTTGTCCCCTTTCCAAGTCCTGTATTCTTTCCTTCCAAGCCTTTACGTTATTATGTAAAGGCTTGTACATACTCTCTCCCTGTAGATACCTGTACATACTCTCTCCCTTCTCCTTTCCTCCATCTTCTTCCCCCACACTTCTTGTTGATGGTGTAGCTGCAGTGGCAGGCCACAAAAGATATAGCAACAGACAAATATGAAGAAAAAAAAGACTCCGACATGTTCTCTTGAATTTCAACAAAGGAAAACGAATTAACAAAACCAGGAGGAGCGCCCACACGAGCCACGCCATGACTTTTGTAGTGTGGGGAGAGGGGAGGTGGGGTGTTGGGGAGAGGGGAGGTGGGGTGGGTGTTGGAAGAGGGGGAGGGGGGGAGAGGGTGTGTGGGGAGAGGGGAGGTGGGAGGGGGGGGAGGATGGGGGGTGGGGGAGGAGGGAAGTGGGAGGGGAGGAGGGGGGAGGGGAAGATGGGGGAGGGGGGAAGGGGTAGGGGGAAAGAGGGGAGGAGGAGAGAGGAGGGGGGAGTGGGGAAGGTGAGGAGAGAGGGAGGTTATCTTGAGGTTATCTTGAGATGGGGGCTTTTTTAGTGTCCCCGCGGCCCGGTCCTCGACCAGGCCTCCACCCCCAGGAAGCAGCCCGTGACAGCTGACTAACATCCAGGTACCTATTTTAGGTGAGGAGGGAAGGAGGTGAGAAGGAAGGTGGGTTGTGGGAAAGTGGTGAGGGAGGAAGTATTATTGAAGGAAAATGGGAGAAGGGGGATGAAAGGGAGCCGAGGAAAGGTTGAGCGGGAAGGGGGGGGGGGGAATGAGGGGATGTGAGAGGAGAGAAGAATTGAAGTAAATAAACACTGCACGAGAGGGAGGCAAGAGTTATTTACACAAAAAGTTCACTTTCCTCACTTCAATTTCAAGGTCCGTCTCCCTGGAGCCAAGTGCTCATTCGCCCTCAAGATGATAATCATCCCCCCCCCCCCGCATTTCCACGTCTACACACAACCCACACACTTATTCTCCTATGCCTCCAACCAACCCACGCCCCCACATAACCATTCCACACGGACTCTCCCATGCCTGAATTGGATCTGTATGGGGTTCTGAGAGTTCTTCTGCTCCCCAAGCCCGGTCTGGGGCCAGACTTGACTTGTGAGAGCTTGGTCCAACAAGCTGTTGCTCGGAGCGGTCAACAGGCTGTTGCTTGAAGTGGTCAGCTGGTCCACATATCCACTACAGCCCAGTTAGTCAGGCACTTCTTCCAGAAAACAATCCAGTTTTTTCTTGAGGACTTCAAGTATTGTCCTACACAACCCAAGCCTCACTACTACACACGCTCGCTCGCTCTTTATATTTTATATATATATTATATATATGGGCTGTTTCGTCTCTGGTGGGGAGCTTAACACAGGTACTGGTTCAACTCTGGTGGGGAGCTTAACACAGGTACTGGTTCAACTCTGGTGGGGAGCTTAACACAGGTACTGGTTCAACTCTGGTGGGGAGCTTAACACAGGTACTGGTTCAACTCTGGTGGGGAGCTTAACACAGGTACTGGTTCAACTCTGGTGGGGAGCTTAACACAGGTACTGGTTCAACTCTGGTGGGGAGTTTTAAGCATTCCACAGGGTGCACACCACAACAGTGACATTTCCATTCTTCAGTTATTTGTAAGCGTACTTCCTGTCTCTGTGGTTGGCTAAGCCTGACTGGTGCGCACGAAACTTCCTCAATTGTAACCTGTTTGAACCGACTCGTAGCTGGTTGATGGGTTATACTATGCTGCAGATGTCGACAACGTTTTATCCGACACGTCGTTTTATCTGATATGTTGTTTTATTCGAGACGACATTTCCTGATATTCGTATATAATTTGGTAGCCAATGATCAATAAAATGATGGCCATGACATTTAATTGCTTGCATCGACCGCAAACAGTAGTGATCGATGGAACGGAGCCTCGTGGTTGCCTAGGTGTGTGGCGTCTCATCTGAGAAAAGTGTTATGATACATACTCCGAGGCAACAGTAAGTGTATGTCTGGCTCACACACACACACACACACACACACACACACACACACACACACACACACACACACACACACACACACACACACACACAAAGTGCGGGAGTTTGCAGCCATGTGTGGTCTGAATCCCAGATATATTATTACCTATTTAACTGAATCTATTGATTTCTATTTACCTATTGTACTGTATCAATCTATTGAATTGTCTTATACAACAATTGCTATATTATTTATTATACAGTACATATAATTGCATTATCATTGGTGTGTGATGTGTGCATTATGGGCTTCGACCACTTCCTGGTATTGGAGGATGAATACACCGAGCTATGTTTAGGACTATAGTATAGTTGCTGGTTGATCAGTATACTATTGTGGTTGGCCTTAATAACCCTCTCGAGGTTGACAGGCCTTACTAGTCCCTAAGAGTGTGATAGGCCTTAATAATCCTCCAGAGATTGATAGGTCTTAATAACCACCCAGAGGTTGATAGGTCTTAATAACCACCCAGAGGTTGATAGGTCTTAATAAGCTTCCAGAGGTTGATAGGTCTTAATAACCACCCAGAGGTTGATAGGTCTTAATAACCACCCAGAGGTTGATAGGTCTTAATAAGCTTCCAGAGGTTGATAGGTCTTAATAACCACCCAGAGGTTGATAGGTCTTAATAAGCTTCCAGAGGTTGATAGGTCTTAATAACCCTCCAGAAGTTGATAGGTCATAATAACTCTCCAGAGACTGATAGGCCTTAATAAACCCGCAGAGGTTAAAAGGCATTAATAATTCTTGAGAGGCTGATAGGCCTAAAGCCCAATACCAAACCAGTGATTGGGATTACGGGTGCCAACATACCCACGGTGAGGGCTGAGAGGCACTATAGTGCCTGACTGTGTATGTGTGAGAAAGAGGTCTGCGGTCTGCCTTGATGGTGTGGAAGACGACTGACGATGAAAGAATGATTTTTGTCTAAAACCTCGGGATGGTGAAGTACATAGTTCACCGTAGAGTGTCCGTCATTGAGGTAACTGCCCAGAGTCTATTACAGATACGAAGGGGGAACTGTGAAACAGGAAGAGTAGAGGGATAAAGTGGAACAGTAAGAGTGGAACAGGAGGTTTGGAGACGAAATAGTAATGGAAGAGGCACCATGGAGGGATAGTCTTTTGGATGTAGGTTATCTTGATGTTATCCTGAGATGATTTCGGGGCTTCAGTGTCCCCGCGGCCCGGTCCTCGACCAGGCCTACACCCCCAGGAAGCAGCCCGTGACAGCTGACTAACACCCAAGTACCTATTTTACTGCTAGGTAACAGGGGGCATAGGGTGAAAGAAACTCTGCCCATTGTT